TCCCCCCTCCTCCCCAGTGTTCCTTTGACTCACTTGCTGGTATGTTCGGCTCTTAAGTACTCTTGATCTCGTGTCGTCTTACTAAGATATACGAATACCTTGTACGTCGTAATAGTATCGACCCTTGTTTTCCTCTCTTCTACGATGGAGTGTTTAATTCCTTCATAAATCATTTCTCTCAGAACTTCAGTAAATATATATTCTCCAGAGTTACCTACGTCGCTGTGGATATTCAACTGATGATCGTCTACAATATTATGACCAGTATCATTCCTACATTTTAATTATTTTTTCTTGACGTTGTAGCTTCTGTACCTCCAGTTTGTATTCCTTATCTGGTCTTCTCACTCTTTCACCTGATTTCATGACCTTGCCCTATCAGTCCTTCACTCTATACAGGTTTTCATATAACTTGCCCAGTGTTTCTGTGGTGTATATTTTCGTCCACTGTTTACATCGACAGAACACATAGTTACCCCGTCAAACATGGTATATATATATATATATATATATATATATATATATATATATATATAATATATATATATATATATATATATATATATATATATATATATATATATATATAATATATATATAATATATATATATATATATATATATATATATATATATATATATATATATATATATACATATCTATATATATATATATATATATATATATATATATATATATATATATATATATATATATATATATATATATATATATATATATATATATATATATAGAAACACTGATCTCTGGCTGAAGGAGACTCGAACCTACGAACCAGAGATCAGTGTTTGTGTATATTTCGCCTGCTCTTGCGAATTCCTTGCATACATACATATATATATATATATAATATATATATATATATATATATATATATATATATTATATATATATATATATATATATATATATATATATATATATATATATTGTATATATGCAGTGCCGAATAAGTAAAACTGGTCAATTACAAGAACTCATTTAAAATTAATTCCTTTCGAACAAAAATTCTTATACGTTTAAAGATTTGTTTATTCATTTACATTATTGCAAAAAAAAAATAATAATTTTGTACCAAAAGAACCATAGAAAACTTACCTAACCTTATTATAACAATCGCAATTTAATTTAGCCTAACCCAGCTAAATATAATTTACAATAATTTAATATTAAATACAACGAAATATATTTTTTTCATTGGGTTCAGAATGATTTTTGTGAAATTATTGCATACACAAATTTTCGCTTTCTTTATTCGGCAAGAGAAGCGTTGTTATTTAAGCCATAATCGCAAGTTTTACCTCTTCGGTACGACATATATATGGAGCAGTGGAGGTCCCGGGAAAGATCCTTGCGGAACACCTTTCGTCACGCTATTTCATCACCTTATCTCTTCCCTCACTATTACTTTTTTTTCCACTTTGATATTCCTTGATCAGTTGCAACTGTTATTGTCATCTCTTCCTCTGTAGGAATTAGACGCTTGTGATGCACGCTTTTAAATAACTCATTAATATCTAAGAATGAACAGTTCACCCAGGCTTGTCTTCCTAACATGATGTATTGTATCATATATAAAGGAAGTCCGGTAGATTTATGGAATAGTTCTCTAATTCCATGATGGTTCTAGTCTTTGATGACGTTTTTCTTCGGGCATTTCATTACTTTCTTTATCTTCCGCGTCTATAATCAAAGATATGTTAATTAAGGATAGTGGTTTGTTGCCTATCTATACCTTGTGTATATAATATAATAACGTCTGTGGTTTACAGTTTTTGGAAGGTTGCCTGTTGTTAATGACTGTTGTAGAATTCCGCTAGTGTTCCATTGTTTTCAACTTGACCAGTTTGATTAGGAAAAAGGGAAGGATGCAGCAGAGAAAGATGGATGCGAGATGGGGCAAGAACAGGCATGAGAAACATGGTACGGAATACAGAAGAGGATAACGAAGGTTGCAGGTCGGGAAGTTCAAGAGCAGGAGTTATTAGAGGTCGTGTTAACTCCATGTATGAAGTTAACTTTCACTACATCCCCTTTTAATGCATTCCCTTCGTTTACTACCCTCACAGTGAAAGGATTCTTTCATATGTCCTTCTAGCTCATTTGAAGATCTAGTCTACATTTATGTGCGCCTCGTTCTGTTTCCTTCCTCTTCTTTGTGTGTGTTTGTGTGTACTCGCCTAATTGTGGTTGCTGGGGTAAAGTCTCATCTTCTGGCTCCGCCTCTCTGCTGGCTGCTACTGGTTACGCTCACCAGCGGAAGGCCTCGGTCAGATGACCAAAAGCTCCAGTGGCGGGTAATCATATGACTGAGACCCGCGTCAGGAAACACTTGTCCTGTTTCCTGACGAATTTTACCTAACTCAACTCTGTCCTGGCTCTGTGTGTGTATATACTCACCTAACTGTGGTTGCAGGGGTCGAGTCATAGCTCCTGGCCCCGCCTCTTCACTGGTTGCTACTAAGTCCTCTCCTTGCTCCATAAGCTTTTTCAAATCTCGCGTGTGTGTGTGTGTGTGTGTGTACTCACCTATTTGTACTCACCTATTTGTGGTTGCAGGGGTTGAGTCTTAGCTCCTGGCCCCGCCTCTTCACCGGTTGCTACTGGGTCCTCTCTCTCCCCGCTCCATGAGCTTCATCAAACCTCGTCTTAAAACTGTGTATGGTTCCTGCCTCCACTACGTCATTTTCTAGGCTATTCCACTGCCTTACAACTCTATGACTGAAGAAATACTTCCTAATATCTCTCCGACTCATTTGTGTCTTCAACTTCCAATTGTGACCTCTTGTTTCTGTGTCCCCTCCCTGGAACATCCTGTCTTTGTCCACCTTGTCTATTCCGCGCAGTATTTTATATGTCGTTATCATGTTTCCCCTGACCCTCCTGTCCTCCAGTGTCGTCAGGCCGATTTCCCTTAACCTTTCTTTATAGGAGATTCCCCTTAGCTCTGGAACTAACCTTGTCGCAAACCTTTGTACTTTCTCTAGTTTCTTGACGTGCTTTATCAAGTGCGGGTTCCAAGCAGGTGCTGCATACTCCAGTATGGGCCTGACATACACGGTGTACAGCATCTTGAACGATTACTTACTAAGGTATCGGAACGCTGTTCTCAGGTTTGCCAGGCGCCCATATGCTGCAGCAGTTATCTGGTTGGTGTGTGCTTCCGGAGACATGTTCGGTGTTATACTCACCCCAAGATCTTTCTCATTGAGTGAGGTTTGCAGTCTTTGGCCACCTAGCCTATACTCTGTCTGCGGTCTTCTGTGCCCTTCCCCTATCTTCATGACTTTGCATTTGGCGGGATTAAATTCGAGAAGCCATTTGCTGGACCAGGTGTCCAGTCTGTCCAGGTCTCTTTGAAGTCATGCCCGGTCCTCATCTGATTTAATTCTCCTCATTAACTTCACATCATCTGCAAACAGGGACACTTCTGAGTCTAACCCTTCCATCATGTCGTTCACATATACCAAAAATAGCACTGGTCCTAGGACCGACCCCTGTGGGACCCCGCTCGTCACAGGTGCCCACTGTGATACATCATTACGTACCATGACTCGTTGTTGCCTCCCTGTCAGGTATTCTCTGATCCATTGCAGTGCCCTTCCTGTTATATGCGCCTGATCCTCTAGCTTCTGCACTAATCTCTTGTGAGGAACTGTGTCAAAGGCCTTCTTGCAGTCCAAGAAGATGCAATCAACCCACCCCTCTCTCTCGTGTCTTACTTCTGTTACTTTATCGTAAAACTCCAGAATGTTTGTGACACAGGATTTGCCTTCCATGAATTCGTGCTGGTTGGCATTTATACTCTTGTTCCGTTCCAGGTGCTCCACCACTCTCCTGATAATCTTCTCCATAACTTTGCATACTATACACGTCAATGACACAGGTCTATAGTTTAGTGCCTCTTTTCTGTCTCCTTTTTTATAAATGGGAACTACATTTGCAGTCTTCCATACCTCAGGTAGTTGCCCAGTTTCCAGGGACGTGTTGAAGATTGTGGTAAGTGGCACGCACAGCATATGTGTGTGTGTGTGTGTGTGTGTGTGTGTGTGTGTGTGTGTGTGTGTGTTTGAGTGAGTGTAGTGTGTGGCAAATGTCAGAGATACCGTTCTACTATCGCACATAATTGCTTGGCAGAAAAAATAATTCCACGTCAAATAATAACAATATTACTCTCCTTAACATTTCTTAGATAAACTGTGTCCAATCCTCGTCAACCTGTGGTCGAGGTCCTTCCTTTCAGAGTAACAGAAACTCAACTTTCTACTACTGTCAAGTCACAATGTGGAACAGATAACATTGCATTCTTCCTGATACCATAACATTCCAGAGAACAATAGCAAATAATAAGATATACAACTGAAGCCATGCCAAGATGAGCTGCGGTTTAAAAACCACGTTGAAAAAATTCATCAGCTATAATGCGAGTGAAGATTTCCAAGCCAGAGTTTTTTCTCTGCACGAAGAGGCCACTAGTGACGGTGGCCTCAGGTTTGTCCCTAAAAAAGGTATCAGAGACGATGGCCTCAAATTTCTTGCCCCTAAAGAGGCCACTTGAGATGGTGACGAACAAGTAAATATACATGTACACCTCAAGACAACTAATCCGCAAATTTTAAACGAGACCTACACTACTTTTCGGCCCGTGCTAAATCATTGTCAAAGTCGCGAGTGAGAACGATCTACGGCAGACTAACAGGGCGTAAAGATTTTTTCTAATTTGTGAATGAGTTGTGAACTGTTCCGGCACCCACAACCCTCTCTAAATCTTTGCCTTGCAGTCTGTATGATCCTTATAGGTTTAGTGCTTTCATTAATAATAATAATAATAATATTATTGCTTTTACTATTACTACTACTAATAATAATAATACTCAAATTAGCTTAAAATACATAATTTCTCCCCACAATGCACATTTACAAATAAATTAATAACAAACAAATATATCATTGAATACAATGAGCAGCCGCGTCTTACCTGCGGAGCAACAGCAGACTTGCCCTCCTCCTCTGAGCTGTGGATATCTTCTTTTGGTGTCTCACGCTGCTGGGATCTCTTGTCCTTGGGTAGCTCCGGCGTGTTTTGCTTGAGCGAGAGAACTTTCTCGAGGGAGGTGACGTGGCCTTGCCTGTCTGAGTGATACCTGATGGTGGTACAGCAGCGTCATGAGTGCGCTCCGCTCTCGTTGCGGGCTACGCTGTGGCTTCGCCTTCTTCAGGTTCTTCTCGACGAGCTGGATGTGTGCCCTCACGAGAGATGGTGTCGCTCGTCTTCATGTGCTCTTTCTGTATAGTATCACCTACCACTGGGCTCTTCGAGAGAGGCATCGCTCTGTTTCTCCACCTTGATCTTCCAAGCAAGATCCACATATAAGGCAGCAACAGCCTTCCAAGGCCATCGGAGCGATCGTTCCTTTTTTTCAAACGCAATCACCGTATCGATTATTAAGGCGCTAAAACCTGTTAGGTTATTAAGCCCACGGCTAATTGAAGGTTCAGTGGTCCGTCGGCCTAATCACTAAGACAAAGTTCAATACCGCACCATCTAAGTTACCTTGAAAGCCATTCAGTTACCTCTTCCACCGTTCAAGTCCAAGCACAGAGTGGTTATCTCAAGCTCCCATGGAAGGCTGGCTCCTCCTTGTCTCAGCACCATATACAACCAATTTCGTTACCCATGTTTAATTTCCTAGCGGACTCCATGACGTGGGAATACCTGATGGTCTTGCCTTTTATATCATATAGCCTATATATAATATGTAATATATATTATGTTCATAATATAATTATATATCAAACTATATATATATATATATATATATATATATATAATTTCTACTAGACTCATAATAATATATATATTATATTATTATATATATATATATATATATATATATATATAAATATATATATATATATATATATGTTAATTCTTCTATTCTCGTAGTAGCTAACATATTTTTAAGCAAAAGCCATTTTTTTCAAGAAAATATGTTAATTTTAGTTATATTAGAATCCACTTGAAGGCCAGACAGTTTTTTGGCGAGTTCATTATCGACACTAAAGTTCATTTATTATTATAAATTCTTATACACATTATACATTACTTTTAAATTTTATTAATTATTTAAATAAACATTCTATAATAAAATTTATATTATTATTATTATTATTATTATTATTTTATTATTATTATTATTATTATTATTATTATTATTATCTCCTCTAAGGAGGCCACTTAATACAGGTGGAGGTCATTGAAAATAATTAATGCAGATGGAGGTCTATGAATAAATTATTTAGAAAACTGACAAGTTGATTCAACCTCACATTCCCCAGGAGCTGCATGATCCACAGGGCAGCACGAGACCCTAAGATTCAGAGCTAGTTGAGCACTCACACAGCACCAACAACCCGAAACAGAAGGAAGATGCCAAGAGATGAAAATCCTTAACGAAGGTGATTAGGTTGAGAGAACTGGCTTCCCCTACTCTGAGAATCATCCTTCAAGTCAGATGCGGAAAATCTAGTTCACTCACCTGGTTAATGGCGGTGTGAGCCGACGGGAGGAGTAAAACTCCCAGGGTGATTCCTGGGGTGAGCGAAACGTATAGAGAAAAAGCTGGGACGCATCAGCTGTGTGCTGCTACCCTATTCTACATAACAGTCACACGGTAGGAGAACCAAAGTTAGCTAGATTTCTTCCCCCTTTCCCTTGCCACCACACATGTCGTATGCTATCATACATAGCTTTAAGATGAGGTATGATAAAACTCATGGAGCAGGGAGGGAGGGGGACCTAGTAGTACTCAGTCAAGAGGCGGGGCCAGGAGCTGAGTATCGCCCCCTGCAACCACAATTAGGTGAGTACACACACTGTTGAACTCTCTCAACCTTGGAGGTAATCGTCAACTGTTCCATTAAGCGCTCACCTCTTGCTACGCGTGTTAGTCGGCTGTTCATGACTAAGACACATGTGTAACATCCGAGTATCTTTATTTGAGAGACGTTTCGCCCCACAACTGGTGAAATTTCTTAAATAAAGGTACCCAGATATTGCGCATGGCTCTTGTTCGTTAACTAACCTTAGAGGTGACTATACATAAATAACCAGCACATAGGAGAGAGGAGCTTACGACGATGTTTTGTGTTGTATTGTTCCAGTCAGGGTCCCCTCAAGGAAGGTTCCTTGATGTTGGTGAGGGGCCCTTGATTTAGGGAATTGGATCTGTGCTCCAGTTCCCCGAATTAAGCCTGAATGCCTTCCACATCCCCCCCCCAGGCACTGTATAATCCTCGGGTTTAGCGCTTCCCCCTTAATTATAATAATAATCCAGTCAGGGTACTGTGCCTTTTTGTTCCTTGAGCTGACTTTGACTGTTGTAGGTAGTATACTTAAATGCTACCATCCTGACCTTGTTACCACTGGGTAGCACCTTTTGCTGGTCCCTGCCTGACCTTCGTACCAGGCCTGATACTGGGTAGCGTCCTACCAGATTTACCTTGTTACCAGGCTAGGAACTGGGTAGTGTCCTTATCAGCAGTCATTCTCCCCCGCAATTATGCAGCCTTGAAGGAGTGACTTTTCGTGTTAATCCCTAGCTTCACTGAAGTCCCGCAGCTTGGTTGATAACGCACTCAGCTTACATACTGAATGTCCGTGGTTCGATCCACGGCTGGGCGGAACTGTTAGGTATGTTTCCTTACACTTGTTGCCCCTTTTCACCTAGCAATAAGCAGGTACTTGGGTGTTAGCCGACTGTTGTGGGTCGCATTCTGGGGGAGTTAGTATACCTTAGATAGGGCTGGGCTTAGAAATGAGCTAAGGCAGGATAACAGCTCTTAGTCTGTAAAACTGATATTAAAACAAGAAAAAAGTGTCTCTCTCATGGCAGCGTTAAAGCATCTCTAATCACCACAGCAAAACCATGTACTGACTATTTCACATATGCATCAACAATGAATGACCAATACAGCCTAATGTCTCACAATATACAGTTCATGTACCCGTGCGACCTATGGTACTGATTCAGTCTCTCACCGGCCTCTCTTGTCTATTCCGCTCTCAGTCCTTGCTTCGAAGTCATCTATCAGCCTCCAGATCTGGCCTCATTCTTCTGAATTAGAGATTCTCATTGAGTTTTAAACTTGATATACGATGGCAAAATTGCCCAAAATTCCACTAGTATTTAGAAGTTATAATTAGTTATAAGCTAGTTTAATGCTGCCGGAAATGCTCCGCATAAAAAAAATATGTCAGTAATATCACCCTTTCCATACCAATTCTAAAACATTCATAAAATAATTTATCCTTTATCATAAAAAAATGTGCTAGTGAGGGAGGGAGGAGTCAAGAAAGGTGTGAGCAGTTGAATCTAACTCGATATTTTTATTATCTGTTTTTGATTGTTTCACTCCTTCCTCCTTCCCCCCCTCCCCCCGAGGGGTAAAGACCATGGAGGACCCAGTGTTCACGTGTTCAGCAGACCACTAACATCAAGGTGATTGCGATCCTCTGCGTCTCAGGACAAAGCCTGGCTGTAACAATCGAGTTTTTCTCTCTCGCTGTAAGAGGACGGAGGATCGAACCATTACAGCTTTTTCATGCTAAATCTTCACTGGTTTAGTGCTTACTATAATAAAATATAATAATAATGATGATAATAATAATAAACGTCCATCATGTAGGATGGTTCTGCTGTCATACTCCATCACAATATATGTTTTCCTGACCTCCTTCATGCCGGAATGGGTCAACGAGAAAACAGTAATGAAATTCATTATTTTGAGTCGGGAGATTTCTGTCGGGAGATGAGCATAGCCACGAAGCCTCGCATCTTGCTGGTGACAGCGGCTACTGCAGCTGCAAAAATTGTCTTTCAGCAGGGCTGGTGTTGCATTTTGGGGTTACCATTGACGATGGGCCTATTACACACACACACACACACACACACACACACACACACACACACACACACACACACACACTCAAAAATAATAGTTCTTCGAAATGTTTCTGCGGTAGGTTGCATTTAGTGCACGTATATGGCATGAGTCAAGCATACATGGGCTACCGTAGTTCACTTACGGTTAACAGTATGATAATCATGCATGGTGGGACAAAATTCTTGACACCACTGGTCATGCTGGAAGGTCATCCACTTAACGCTGATGAGGAAGCGAGAAAGCTCGCTTCCTCATCAACATCTGTTGATGTTCACTCTCCTTTTTAATGATGACTGGTTCGTACGTCGGGTTGCGTGCGGCCAACATTAACAGCCTGGTTGATCAGGCCCTGATCCACCATGATGCCTGGTCACAGACCGGGCCGCGGGGGCGTTGACCCCCGAACCTTCTCCAGGTATACTCCAAGTAATTTAAAGAAAAGGTATATCAAGTGTGTGTGGCTACAATATCTGATAGTCACGTAAATGAAAAAAAAAAAGGACTCCATTCTTTCCTAGTTATTTTTTCCTTACACAGGACATGGTTTCTTCTCCGGATGGTAAATTCGTTGTGAAAATGATGGGGTTCATGCATGAAGCAGTGAAAGATGTTAACCTGAGCTTGGAGGGTTCAATAGATGAGGACATCAAGAATTTAACCACAGTGTTCAGAGGATGTCGGAGGTTGAAAGTGATTTTCCCAGTAGAGCTGCAGTTGAAGGACAAAGATAATTTTAGTCCAGCATTTCTCTGCGAGTTATACGAACTAAATAAAATGGAAAGTTTTCATAAACTGTAATGAAAACGCTGGTTTCTATATTACTGCAACAAACACACACACGTCAGGATGAAGTGACAGAGAATTTCCTTACCCCTGACTCACAAATTTCTGGTAGAGACTCAGTTTTTCCGAGTTTGACGAATCGGATAAGATACATGTGTAACACCTGGTTATCTTTACGAAGATGATTCGCCAACCAGTGCTTATTTCACTTTCACGGTTTATATACGAGAGACGGTTGAAGATGATATACTCAGTCCTTCAGCCTGACTGCCTCAGAGATCACTGTCTCCACTGAATATACCGTATTTTTGGCATATAAGGCTCACGATCATAGGAGACATAAAACAATATTTGCAAGCAGTTGTAACGTAACGTTAGTAAACAATTGCTAAAGCGTAACCCGAAGTCTACCCTTAACCTAACCTTGAGCATAAAGGGCGCGGGCTGATTTTCCAAGACTTATATGCCGGAAAATACGGTAATCTCTGGATTTGATTGATTAAGCCATCGTGTGTCTAATTCACCAACTTATCGGTACTGTACATCATCAATGTTTTGTCTCTATTTTGCAGAATATCTTTTCGCTGGGTCACTTAGGCTGCATGTAACCTTCTCACCACTCGTCAAGAATACTTTAATTCCTAAAACAGGGATTAAAGTAAGCTCTGTA